ACAAGGGATGTTTTGAATGAACATTACGTAATTAACTCGCGACGATCATTTTTGAACTTTTACTGAATATAAGGTAGCAGAGAGCATTATAAATGTTTAGTGCTTAGTGACTATTGTAGAAAAAAACGCCATTGTGAATCAATCATATATATTCAAACATCTTATAAGAATAAATTTTGTTACTATTATAAATATATATATACATATAGTATTTAACTGATACACCATTTCTTATTGTTAGCGCAGATTGTACACAATTATATTGTAACATTCAATTCATTGCACATGTATAGTTCTAGGATAGAGTTATAAATATTGTTAACGACAAAGAGTAAGTGATCGCTCTTGTATAATAGTATATATATATAAATATAAATAAAATATCTATGATCCTCCTTATTGTACAGATCTCGAAATAGTAATATTCTTAACACTAAATAGTATAAATGCCATTCCATCTTCCCTTCGCGATTCTTAAGAGTTTAAGAGTTTCAAATTTCAATCCTCCATACTCATTGTACATAACGTCAACGGAATAAAGAGAATTGAATTGAATTGAATTGAATTGAGAAGAATAGCGGACATTGTCTGGAAACGAAGAGGCATTTCTAGCCATTTACCTCTATATTAAATTAGATGATACACAATTTATACAAGATCCGAATGATATGTTCAGTATCGTAGATCGATCGTGAGAGGTTCAAAATCCACTGGGTGGGTTGTGTTGTTCTCCTGTTTGGATCATTCAATAATGGGATCGTTGAGAATATTATTTTTTAATTAATATGTAAATAAGTTTTGTTATTTGTTGAAATTGTTTGTGCTTTAGCTTGTATCGCCGCCATGTGATTAGCCTCAATGACATCATTTATGTGCATTAAGAAAAATATAAAGATTAGTGTAACTACTTTCTGACTATATAAAATTCTTGATGTATTCAATTATATTAAAATAGTGTGTGTCTTTTTCAATTTCTTTAACTTCTCTAACTGTGTAGTTAACAATACCATTAAGGGATTTTGAATAAAGATATATCCCTATACTAATATTTAGAATGACATTTTCAATTATACAGTTTCATTTATAAAATAATTTTAATAAAATAGCAATATTGTTAAAAAGAATAAAGTATGCCCTTTTGAATACTAATATATCATGTTTTTGTTATTTGTGCCGTAATAAATCGACAAATCATGTTAGAAACGTTTTATTCTAGACAATTCTTGAATATGACTTTATTAACTGAATGAAAATTGCAAAAGCTATTTCTGAAAAGATTAAGCCGATATTTACTTCATACCTTCGACCTTCCATCAATGAACATTAAAAGTCATTTGTAGTCATACGAGTGAATAATTCACATATTCAAAGGACTATTTCCTAATTATTGTAATCGTAGTGATGTTTTATTACTAGGTCAATTAAATCAATAAAATTATAAAAATGTGATAGGAATTATTATATTTATTATATTTATTGATAATTACTTTGTTTTGTCCAAATTATGTTATGATATAGAAACAAACTGCCAATTTGTTAGTAATGTTACAAAGAATGCTATTAATGAAAACAAATACATATTAAAGGTTATACTCAGGTAACGAGTAGAAAAATGAGTTTTGTCATGTACTTCGCAATAAGAGAAATGCATGTTGAAAATATAATAGCTTTTCTTTTATCTTTGTTTTACAAAAATGAACGTGTCGTACTTTTATTTATTCAAATTTAATTAGATCAAGTTAGTTATTCATAAATTTTGTAATATTTATTTTTAGCTAATTGAGAATAATACATTTTTCATCGGAGATGTTATGACAAATTATAAAATAAATAGCAAAATAAAAAATTGGATTCTATTTACTTAATTGAAAAATTATGTGATTTCTATTACTTGACCTGGTAGATCCTTTTAATTCCTTTTTGCATTGTTTGTCCATATTTAAACAAACACAATTTCCATTTAGCTTGTTCAAATTTTGTAAATTTATAATTTAAATAATTAGCAAACATTTTGTTCATATGAACTAATAAACTTATTAGCGACTAACTAAAATTACTGTTTTCACGCCTTTCCATAAAACTCTTTTTCCAACTTTCAATGTTTCACTTATAAGCATAAACTTATTTTAAATTTATTGCAAGGTTTAAATTAACTTGAAATATTTTCAATTTCAATTTAAATATTTAACCTTTAAATAAAACTTACTCACAATCAGAATATTCACTAACACTTTGCTAAATGCTGAACATTGTGAACATTCATAATAAAACTGATACTCATTTTATACTTTTCAAATAAACCGATAATCACGCCCTTTTAAATTTAAGGTGTAAGGAATTTACAGATTATTAGGAAGTTGGAGTTTTATTAATGGTAAGTTAATTTATGGTTAAATTATATCTATAAATTAGACTCGCAACGAATAGTATATTCTACAAAATTCCGAATACCAAATATTCGGCATGCTTCACAGATCGAATACCGAATATTAGGCAACTATTCGGCAGTTTTTAGTGCCTAATGTAAATACTAATTGCAATTGTTATATATTACTAACGCGCTACATGTTCATTCAAGTTTTATGCCTAGACTTGCAACCACTATTCATTTACTATTTGTTATTTGGAATATTTGGCACCATTTATACTATTTGGTCGAGAACCGAATAGTTAAAATTAAAGAAGACACCGCCGCCGACTGTCAACGAAAATATTGTGTATGTTTATCTTTTTTGCGATAAAGAGCTTGCGATGGATCTGCATATTTGGAAGTCTTTAGTTTACGTAATATGATATGAAGAATTTGCTATTGTAATTGTGAAATGTATAGAATTGAAATCGTTCATATTGAAATTATTTAAACTTTTGAGTTTATAAACAAATAACTGAAGAACTCTTTTCTCAATATTCACAAGTCATGTTATTGTTGTATGTTTATGTTATTTAATAAGAATCATTCAACGATTACACGCATGTGTTGTATCTAGATTCAATAAAGTCATTTATTATATTCAATCTAAGCATTTCTAAATAAAGAAATATCAGACTCCTTATCGCAAAAAATACGAACAATATTTTATGGTCAGTTTTTATTTATTTTATTTCGATCAGCCATTTAAATTATAAATAAGAAATAATATTGTGTTTATAAAAGAAAATATTAAATCTTTATGGAAGAAATAATTGGAAATACATTTATAAGTATGTAAAGAATCGCTTCTTGATTTATGTCCCTATCACATATGTTATTTAAGTATTCGGTATTCGGCCGAATAGTATTAATGGTGCCGAATTTTCCAAATAAGAAAGAGTAACCAAATAGTCGTTGCAAGTCTAGGTATAAAACTTGAATAAATATGTAGTGCGTTAGTAATATAAGAACTGCGAATAGTAATTACGTTAAAACGAACGAATTTAGGCTCTAAAAACTGACGAATATTCGGTATTCGGCATTTTGCCGAATATACTATTCGTTGCAAGTCTAATAAATTATAATTGGCATATCAGTATAAAATTCTTTAAATGATCACAGATTTTTTCTCTTAAATATTTTGTCTCTTTTAATAAGTGGAATAAGGTATCAAAAGGTGTGCAATCACACTATATGGCACATCATAAGTATTTAGTAGTTGAAGAAATGCGTTATATGACTCTTTAGTTTAAAAAGTTATTTTCGTTAGTTCAAATATATAAGTCTTTTGAAAATAGTATTTTTAAGAATAAAAGAATATGTATAAGGTTTGTTTTTTTTTCCTAATATCAATACATATTTATTTCACATAAAATAGTTTCGTTCTAAGCTAATTTCAACAATTCATACTATATAGAGCATTTGTGAAATAAATATGCATTATTAATAGGCTTGCAACGAATAGTATATTCGACAAAATGCCAAAAACAGAATATTCGGCATGCTCCAAAGACCGAATACCGAATATTCGTCCTGTTTTTGGCGCCTAAGCTCGTTTGTATTAATGTAATTACTATCAGTAATTGTTATATTACTAATGCGCTACATATTCATTCAAGTTTTATGCCTAGACTTGCAACCACTAATCTGCTACTCTTTGTTATTTGGAATATTTGGCACCATTTAAACTATTTGGCCGAATACCGAATACTTGATGGTAAAATTATGAAAAAGCGATTCTTTACATATATGTTAATGTATTACCAATTATTTCTTTCATAAACATTTAATATTTTCTTTTATATACTCAATATCGTTTCTTATATATTGCGAATGCTAATCATATCAAAATAAATAAAAAATGATCAAAAATATTGCTTGTATATTTTGGAAATGGAAATTTGCAAATGGAAATGCATAGATTTCATATAATGAATGACTTTATTGTATTGATACAGCACATGTGTGTAACCATTGAATGATTCATATCAAATAATATAAGCATGTATCAATAAAGTATCTTGTAAATATTCAGAAAAAAGTTTTTCGCGTAATCATTTATAATGTCAAAAATCGATAAAGTTTAATTGATTATATATACAATAACGATTTTCGTTATATCGTATTATAATAAACTAAATACAGATCTATCACTCTTTATCGCATAAAAGATAAACCACCACCGATGATGTCGCTGAGCGGCGGCGGCGCCTTTGATTTTAACTACATCGGCCGAATAATAAAAAAAGGTGCCGAATATGCCGAATACCGAATAGTAATCGAATCTTCGGTGCAACTCTAATTATTAACTTATTTTACGTAAAAATGTACTTATTGCAATAAATATAGTTAAATAAAACTTCTTTCTAATCATTATGATTTAAAATAATTATTGATAAAAATATAGTATATCTGCTATTTAATTTCTAAAGCAGTAGTACGTAATAAATAAAGAGAATATTCTAGTGTATATGTTGACATTAAATGACGATGACGTTTCAATTTGAAGCTCCCGCGCTTTTATGTTTGTTTAGCAACTAGCGCTTCGACAGTTCGAGATTTTCGAGCTAGTGTCATTTACATTGTTTACTTCAAGGTTTCATGTCTTGTGTACAAAACATGTTGTTTAGCTTTGGCGCTATGGATACGTAAAAGATTTATTTACACGAAAATATTTATAACATAAATTTATATTGTAAAGCCTATTTGTACATAGCTTTAACCAATGGAAAATTAATTGAACGATGAAGTTACATGATGATGGCTGATCAGTTTCGTAAAGTCGAACCATATTCTCCAAAGTCTTCACCTAGGGGTGCTAGATCACCAGTAGTGTCAAGGCAAGATTCTTCAGGAACATTGAAAACCACAATTTCACTAGGAAAAAATCCGTCAATTGTCCATAGTGGCCCCTTCTATTTAATGAAAGAGCCACCAGGTAATTAAACTTTTCACTTATCATTCATAAACTCATATTTATCTTTCCACTTATCAATCAGAACTTAAAGGTAGCACCCAAGAATCCTGTCCCCATATCAATCTTTCCTTTGAAGGTCACTAATTAGTTGGTAAAAATGATCTAATTAAGATTTAACTTCATAGTGCACATTTAGTTATATTGTCACCTTTGTGATTAGCTATCAAAGCACTAATTATCAATACTATATAAATATAATTGTGTGAAGTTATCAATAAACAATGTTTTCATTCAAGGAGAAAGTGAATTGACAGGATCTACAAATCTTATGGCCTATTATGGCCTTGAACATGCATATAGTAAATTTAGTGGCAAAAAAGTAAAAGAACAGTTATCTTCATTTTTACCTAATCTTCCTAGTGTAATTGATGGACCAGGGCAGCAGGTAATAAATTTCTACTAAATATACTGATTTTAAAAATTTTGCAAATACTATGAATTGCTTTGAGTTCATGCAATTTGGATAAGACGTTAAATTGTTAATAAAGGACTTGTATAGAAATATATCTAAAATAAAATTAAATAATTTTAAAAATATAAATTATAAAATATAGATATAGAGCATTTAATTTTTAAATTTCTGAAACTATTAGTATTTTATAATTATGAGATTATTATAAAATGAATTAAAATTCTCTGAAAATTGAGGTATATTGAGAAAAAAAATAAGTATCGTATGGATTAAATTTTATTTTATTATGTCTGTCATAATTTTTCAGTGTGTGAAATTATAGTAAAATAGTATCCCGCACGAAATGTATTATTTTCATTATAAATTTTAATATTATTATAAAACATTCAACGCTTAAATTACAATTGATTTATATAAAACTATCATTAATGAAAAATGTACATTACAGGATAATAGTTCATTACGTAGTGTAATAGAGAAACCTCCAATAGGAGGGAAAGAATTACTACCACTTAGTAGCACACAATTATCTGGATTTAGGTTACACCCTGGGCCTGTAAGTACTTTTTCTAAATACAATTAAATATTATAAGCAGTAATTCTTTTTTTCTAATTACGAATTATTTTTAGCTACCTGAACAATATCGGTATGTTAACATGACACCTTCTAAAAAACACAAGACCAAGCACAAAAAGCATAAACATAAAGATGGAGGTCCCCTTAGCCAAGACAACACTCCCACAGGTAATTCATATTTATATTTATATTTATTTATAAAACACAATTATACAATTATAGATATTAATGGCACATAAATTAATAGATAATAATACATACTATATTAAATGAAATATAATTTAAAAAAAAAACAAATGTTCACTCAAAATCTTATTCTAATTTTCAAAGAATAATTTATATAATAATTTTAATAATTTTTACAATAATTAGAATAATTAATTATACATTATAACTTCCTGCAGTTAAAATTTTATCTAAAGCAAATAAGTAAAAAAATTCTTCTATAATGGTGCTAATATATTTGTATTTATTCGCCTAGTGCATTTAAAGCACTAAAATAATGATATCAAATTGAAATAATTGTGTATATATTATGGTCTCTAAGTAAAAATATTTGTTGTGATTATCTTTAGTTATATATAACTAATTTAAGGAAACAAAATGCTAACTAAAGGGGAAAACAAAAAAAAAGTACATAATATTTGATTAACAAAAAAAGTAAACAATGTATGCGAGTTTGTGTTAATGACTGAATGGACCCAATATAAATAGACTTAAAAGAAATTATCAATTTCGATTGTTCAATTCTTTTTGATGCTTGATCTAAATCTAATAATATTCAACCCTTTATTACTTGACAACGATCAACAAAAGCATATATCAATATAAATAATGAATATATTTTGTATTTGCAAATAATATTGTACAAAATATTTTTTTTTTATCAAAGGAAGTGTTGATATTTTTCAAATATTTGATTTTTCAATTTTGAAGATACACAAATTAAGCATACACTTTATAATAACTCTTGAAATATCTGTTGTGCTATATTCTCTTATGTAAATTTATTTCTAGACTCTACAAATCCAGATACACATGAGAAAAAACATAAAAAACAGAAAAGACATGATGAAGAAAAGGAAAGGAAGAAACGGAAAAAAGAAAAGAAGAGAAAAAAGCAGCGTCATAGCCCTGAACATCCTAGCTCTCTTTCAAATCCACCATTGGTCTCATAAATCATTCCTTTACAGTACTGTTTAATTGTCACTTTGCAATTGTACTTTAAAATGAATGAAACAAGTTTGAGCGTAATTTTGTAAATACTAGCCAATTTAGAGTATACTCTTGAGGCTGCTTGAGATTATGTGCAAAGTGCTTCTGATTGCATATTTGAACAGATAAGTGAAAGTACAACTTAATCTATTTTTATGGCAATTTTATGTTTTACAATATTTGGATTTATTAATTATGAAGTAACAAGCATATTTCCAAAGTAAGATCTCATGTTAATACGCTACATATTTTTGTTCAAATACCTATTTATTCACAAGAAAAGTATTTCACAATTCTTAAGTTATACTTCTTTATATATATTTGGCTAAGAAAGATAAATCGGGCATTTTTTTTAAATGTTGAACATGCTTGAAAATTGTATGAATGAAACTACTGACTTGATGATCTTAACTTGACTAAAAAAAAAATATTTTTATTTTAACTTTATATATTTGTATATTATGTTATATGGATTTTAAACAATATTATGAAAATGAAATAAAATAACACAAATTACAAATAAATAATATTTAATAGATGCTTTTTCTTATCAAAACTGTAAAAATTATGATGGAACTTTAAAGAAAAGCATGATTTATTTTATGATACATTTTTCTCAATATTGTTTTGGTATGAAACGGTTTGGGATCAGTCCACATTTAAAATAATTGTCATATTTATGGAAATTGTTATATTATGCTCGTTATGTGTTCCTTACATATTGGTTTTATACAATATCTGTAAATTTACAAATGTAGAGAATTAAGTAATATAGATTATTTTAATGTTATAATTTATATACATTTACACTCATGATTGGAGCTTCTTATTGTAAATATAATACATAATGAATTTGTGGAAAAAGAATTGCTAATTTATAATCTGTGATCATTTTTACATTTAAATCATTTTAATAATGAAATGTAGATTATTATGTAATAATGGGGAAAGGTGTATTTTTCAATTATATTCTGCAAATAATATATATGTGTACGTTCATAACACCAGTTTTGTAATACATATGTGTTAATAATTTTCTGTTAATAATTCGATGCCTATGTACATATACAATGTCTATATCAGTCTATATAAAAATTGCCGCCAAATCACATGTAATTTATCAAGTCAATATCAGATGGCACTAAGATCGATTTCAATTCGAATAAGATACTTTGGCGGGAAGACATTTAGATGTCAATCAGTCAGTCATAACGCCATTGCCGGGCAGCGGCGTGCTTGCTTTTTGCCATTTATTCATTGATTTGTAGGCTTAAAATGAATTTTGCAATCATCTGAAACTTTTTTAGAATTAGAATTATATATTAGAATGGTTCCTTTTATTCTAACACTCTTTGTGGCATCGATATTCTTTATTTTGATAGTTGCATCTTGTGTATATAACCTATATGTTTTTATAAGGCGAGTATTATTTTATTAGTACTAATATTAATAAACAATAACATAGTTCTTACTTTAATGTTTTGTATAGAAAGGGGTAATTTATATTTTTATTATATAATACAATTCGTCTTTGAAAATTGTCGGTTCATATAGATTTGTAATTCACTAATTTACATATTCTATTTATACATTTGGCTATGTAGGAACCCTATGTAACGTGTGTTTTATGAATGCTTATAATTTAATTGAATTATACCAAGTAGCACTTATTTGTACAGAATTGTTTCGTAATGACAATCAAGAGTATATGTTTTTAATATAGCTAATAAGAATTTTAGTCATTGAATACTTAATACATTAACAAATTGAGAAAATCATTTGAGTGTTAGACCTCCCAGTAAGATTTTTAGTAATCAAGCAAATGATGAGAGTTATTAAACTATATGATATTACCACACTTTATATATATGTGTTTAGATATGATTCTATTTTATTTTACAGGAAAAAAATTCCTGTGCATGTCAATTGCTGGTTTTGCAATGAGAATTCCTATGTATGTTTCAAAAGTAAAGACTCGTGGGTTTGCAGTGGTTGTCAGCAATATAATGGATTTGATGAGGTATTTATTTTAGCATTATGTTTACTAAAAGATAAAGGCACTATTCAAAGTTGCTTTTATTTCAAAAAGTGCATTTCTTAAATTCTTTATATAGAAATTTGCATGATGTGTATAATTGCGTAATATGAATTTCTTATACTAAATGTTATTGTGTATATTAATTTTAGGTTTTAAAACCAGACAATGTAATACACTTTGTTATATTGTTGGTTCTATACTGTTATATAAAATTCAAATAAACTTCTATCTTTGTCTAATATGATTGAATCAAACATTTTATGTAGATGAAATAGAAAATTATTTTGTTATCACAGTTATTTTAAATTAATATATAAATTTGTATTTAATGAATAATATGCTTCTCAGCTTTGGATTTTTTTCCTGATTATTTTATATATAATCATACATGATTTTTAGAATGGCGATTATAACTGTGACATCTCGAATCAATATTTTGACTTCTTGAACCCGACTGTGTATTGCCAATATGAAAAAAGTGGCGATTTGAATAAGAGTAATCAATTGTGTACTTCATGTAATTACAAACAGGCTGAGAAGGTGCAGTTAATTGCTGAATTTGTTCCTAAAAATGTTCATCATTACGATTATGAAGTTGAGGAATATATGTAAGTCGCATAATGAATAATTCCATTTTATAGAACTTCAAATTATAAATAATAAAAATCATTTATTATGTAATTTACTGTCATTCACTTGTATATTCATTTATCTATTATTAAGTATTATGTATTCTAGAATGTTTTAAAAATGCGCTTTGATGTAATTTTCAGAAAAAAACTGGAAGATTCATATCAAGTCTGCAAAAAATGCAGTAAAGTGGTTGATAAAGCGGTTGCAGAGAGCAAAACATTATTGCTAGAGCAGTATTTGACATTTTTAAGATCCAAGGGATTAAATATATCTAATTTGAAATCAACAGATACTAATTTTAATTACTACATTTCTACAACAACTAATTCAGTTATATTTGTTTTGTCAGGAATTTATTTAATTAACTTGTGCTATTTATTGAATAATCAAAATAGTCGAATTTACAATAAATTTTATCCATATTTACTCAATATGGCTGACAATATAATATTATATTTTAAAATTTTAAATGAAACATATGGTTCAATGATTTTACTTGAAAATATTCATAACAGTTTAACAACAAAATATGATTTTTTTTTTCTTAATATCTCGTCTTTATATATACCAGCCTTTGAAACCATTTCGTTTAATGATAAAAGTTTTTCTTTGTCGATAATAGTTATTGAAATGCTTCTCTGCACATACCAATTTGCTGTTTGCAAACTGCGTTTAGTATTAATTCAAGTAATGTTGTGGTTTTTGTCTTTGGTAATGTACTTGAACTTAGTTAAAACTGCGTGGATTAAGAATGAAGTGATGATTTCGGACTTAAAGGTTGGTGTTAAATTTTTATTTTAATTATAAATATGTATTTAGCTGAAATACCATAATCATATTTTTTTATAGATTCTACTAGCATTAACATCATTCTTATTATCAATGGGCAATCATGTGCCCAGTTTTCACAAACCCACTGTTAATAAAGTACTTCGTGTCCTGCCACATAATGGAGTATCTGATAATCAAGAAACTAGAACAAATAAATCGAATCAATTTCAAAACTCAAGAACATTGTGGAATAAAAGTTCTAATTCTATTGATGCAAAACAGAATTTTATGGAGTTCCAAAAAGTAGACGATAATTCAAAATTTACGAACATTTCTGGAAATTCTATCAGTCAAAATGTACCCAAATTGCCAATATTTAGGCAATCATTGAATGATAATTTTTCTGAGGCAAACCCTAAGGTTGATGATGCACGAAATAAACATATAAACCCATTTAAATCATCATGTTTTAAACCTATATCATTATATAATGACGATATAGGTGATTTTGGATTAAGTAATCTATATTTAACTAAGAAGCGACCACAATCATATTCTTCATTATCTTGCAATTCTTTATTCTCAACTCGAGAGTATAAAGCAAATAAATCTAATATATTTGGTGAATCGATGCAATGTAAAACACCCATTATTGCGCCCTCTAGGTTAGAAAAAAGTTTTATTCATTCTCATGTCTCATCAGGAAAATATTGGAGTCAATCTCGAAAACATATGGCAAATATGAACCATACTTTTCCTTCCATAAGCAGAACTTCCAGCCAAAGTTCTGGATTTGAATCTCAGTTATCGGGTTCCTGTTATAATACATTTTCATGTCCTCCGTCGCGGGATGATTCTGTTTGCAGTGATTTTGAAAATTCATCTGTTTTATCTGAGCCCACTTATTACTCACAAAATTTTTTTCAACCAAGTCAACAATGTAATTCTTTGATGTCCCAGAATAATTATATTCCATCTGAATTGTCTAAATCAAAATTTAATTTGGTTAGATCATTCGGTAGTGGTTTTAACAGTTCATCACATTTTTCAAAATTGCATCACCACAATTCTTACCCAACAACATTTTACAATCGTTCTTATACTAATGGGGAATTGGAGCATACAGAATTAAAATTGTAAATATTTTTATACATGAGACTGTATGTTGATAGTTAGTCATAACCTTAAATACTGCCATTAGATCTATGTTTTGTAATTTTTGTTGAAAACGTTCAAATACTTTTAAGTACTTACTGCCAATCAGATAGAACTGGTATACAAATGTTCATTGTGTGGATATGCTTGTTAGGATACTGATGAAATAATATTTATTTATTATAAACTGTAAATAGTTCAATATAAATAACAAAATCTATTCATATGTTTCTGTTGTTAATATGAATGGAAAACAATAAATATTTACGATTATTTAGTTTTTTGTTTATTATTATTATTAGTTTTATTCGAGTTTTCGAAATTTTGTATTATGTTATGGTGGTAGGTGTTGAATCAACAAATGTTTGTTTTAAATTCTTTTTGTTCTTTTACGTTTCGTTGATTCAATTATTTTGTCGACTAGTTTAAAACACCAACAGCTTTGTAATCGAGTCTAGACAATATAATAATATTGCAAGACAATATAATAGTATTAATATGAATACATGAGTCATAAGTCATTTCATAACTTATAACTCAAACTAACTCTATTACTGTAAGTAGTCTTATTTCCATACTGGCTGTACTCATTCACCCTTTGCTGGGTTTTATTTTCAATTAAAATTCACGCTTTGCCAGATTTTATTTTCAATTAAAAATTTGAACAAACATTCATATTTGTCACATCTAGTCTACAGGTTTTCTGGTCTCGCAGTCCACCTGTCTAAATCACTATCTGCCAACCAATTTACCAGTCTATCAATTTACCTATCCACCAGTATACCTGTTGATCTACTTATGACTTTACCCATTTACCTATTAACCTGTTTATCAATCCAACATTTTATCTGTCAACCAATTTACAGGCAATCGGACATTTGGTTTATGAAAAAAGATATAATTGCTATTAAATCTTGTAAATAATTCTTACAAAATAGGTGTTTGTGATAGGAGGTTGAAAATTTAGGGTTATATGTGTTGTTCGTATACGCATTATAAAATAATTAAAAAAAAAAAAAAAAATGTAAAAAAAATCTTCGGGGCGGCCAACCCCTTTCACTTGGCTTTAATCAAAATATCCGAAAAATTGTTTTTTATTTTTTTTTGTTTCTTTTTGTTAGTTTTTATTTTTGTTTTTTTTCTTTTATATTTTTTATCTTTATTTATCTTTTTTGTTTTTTTTTTCTTTTCTCGGGATTTACCTAACAATTTCTGGTTCATACATCCGTTTTTAACTTACCGTAGGGTAAGTTGTAGTAATCGCAAAAAATTCGCAAATGAAAATATTTATATATATTTACGTTTCAAAGGTTTCTGAACATTTTGGCATACCTTACACAAAATAGATGAGTGTGTGTGCGGATGCAAATTTTCGATTTCAAGAACACGGATCAACCGATTTGAATAATTTCAAAAACATTCGATTTGTATTGACAAGGAGACATGCTGATTAGTTTTTGTCATAGCCAGGTCTAGCCGACGAAGATACTAGGCAAAAAGAACCAAAAAAATGGAAGTTCAGTTTTTGAGAGATTCGAGTTTTTGAGCGCCTGATTTGAATAATTCAAAAAACATTTTAATTATATTGATTAAACGAAGAACTGTTCAAATTTTTGGAAAGGCAGGTCCAGCGGTTGTGGATTCTCAATGAAAATAAGTTAAAAAAAATGCCATTTGGCGGTCAAAAATGTTCATATGCACATCAAGTTATGAGATATTTTAGAGAGATTTTAATTATGTGTACACTTTTGCCAATTTTTTGGGTTCAGCACCAAGATTTTTAATTTTAAAATTCGAGTATATAGTTCAAACAAATGTCCTCGACATTTTCGACAGTATGGAATAACCGATTTTTATGATTGAAAAATCATTCGGTTCGTACTCGATCGCGAGGCGTTTTTGCAAAAGGCATTTTGCTGTTTGAGGTATGGAGCGCAAAGGGTGTAAAAAACGGTTATGCAGCTTTTGAGAAAACGGATCATCCGATTACATTAATTCAAAAAACATTTTGCTTGAGTAGAAAGTGTGCAAAATATGCTTTTACTAAAAATTTCGTAATTCTGAAAAAAAATCAAAATTTTCAAAAAATTCAAATTATCGAAAATAAACTTATTTTGAAAAATTTCAAAATATATCAACATTTTAAAAAAAAATCGAATATCTTCAAATATTTCCAATTTCTCAAGAAATTTAGAAAAAAACGTTTTTTCTCAAAAAATTCCAAAAATTTAAAACTTCTAAAAGAAAAATCGTCGCCCAATTTAAAAAGCACCTATAAGTTTAAAGAATGTATTTATAATAAATAATCTGTTTGAAATTATTCAAAACAATGATTGATTATTTCCATTTTTCAAATGTATAACTACGGTACGGGATGTTCCAGCAATTTGCCTTAAGGCACGATGCCATGCGCCCTACTAGTTATATATATATAGATAAGTAAAAAATATTCTATATTTTTATGTTTTTTAATTTTCATAGCATTTATACAACCTGCAATTGCCTTGTTATAAATTCTAATGACTTAAACCTTACATGACAACTAATTTTTCAGTTTTATAAATTATCTCTGGAATGTATCAAGTAGGTACTAGCTAAGCACACTACCTCGTTGATGACGTTTAAACGTACTTTTCAATCTTCAAAACGGTGGCTCTGAGCAAAAAAGTATTGCTGCATTTTTGTAGATTATTTTATGCTCTACAATATTGTCTCAGGTAATTTTGCGATAAAACTGACCATTTAGCTAAAAATTGCAAAAAGGTGATTTTTTTTATACTAAAAGGTGATCCTTTGATCTCGTGCCATTTTTTTATCTCGAATCGTATCGATGAGAGCTTTTCAGATTTCTTTTATAATCGTATTTTAAACAATTTTGCCAAGTTTCATCCCATTATGAATTATTTTTTACCCTGATTTTAGGTTTAAATTGATCGGGCTAGATTTCTTGATCAAAATAATAAATCTATTCATTCTAAATTTTCATTTTGCTTACATACAAGTTGCCTTTTTAAAATCGTCGTATTTCGTTTGGAAATTCGCTACATATATATTGTTTAGTGAAGCTTCGAATCCGATATCCAACAAGCTTGCGTTAAACGTTTATAGCCATATTTATAGCTACTCTGAAGGGAGTATCTAATATGTGATAGACTATATAAAAATTATGTAGATTGCAAAGGTTGTGAAAGTAACTGGAACTCTTACCAATGATAAATATTTGAAAAACACAAATTCAATAAAGTTTGTCATAAAAAAATCAATATGAACTCACTATAAATCAATCTGAACCTTCATTTACACATTACGAAGTTTTACTCGGTGCGTCCAAGACGCTGGTTTCGTTTTTTATTATTTTGATCAAGACGAAATTCAATAATGATTCGTTTAAAGGAACAAACCTGTTGATTAAGATGCAAGAAAATGACTCGATTGAAACGATTTTTTTCTGTTAAATATTTTGTTTATTTATAATTAAATGTTATAAAGGGTGTGGTCGTGTTTCCATACAGAATTGGCCCCACCCTGGTATTCAAAAAAAAAAAAAATGATGCCATTTTATAGGCATTTTCGAGAAAATCCGATATACCAAATTTCAAATCCATAGCTATTCATTTGGGCGAGATTTCATTGAAAATGTGTGAAAGTGTTTTTTCAAAGTCGTTTTTTGTAGCAACTGTAAAAGATATCGACAAACAAATAACGCCATTCTATTCACATCAGCGTGTACTATATTATTAATAACAAATATTGTTTAATAATTATTTTTTAGTGCATGAAAAAGTGAAAATTATTTTTTGTTTTGAATTTTCGGGTAGTGCGGTTGTTTGGACTACTTTTTAATTAGCATCATTAGAAAAAATTTTGTTTTATTTCATGTGGTAGAACACATTCAAAAGTAGAAAAAACCTGAGCAAGTACACGCTCGCGCTCATATAACACCCGTGTAAGTCGCCTCTGGTTTGCAACGACTAGCAACAGCACTGCCCGCCGCGTGTCTTCATAAATTCTGTATATGGAACATTCCTTTGTAAAACATTTTTAATGAAACACAGGATATAGACATTTATATTTTAATTAATTATATATTTATATGTATGTGTATAATAATAATTATATTCATAAATAATTAAATATATATTACTTATATATTGCACAAGTATATTGTATGATTGATATTTCATACAATTATCACTAAACAAATAAAATACTGATTGATAAAAAATATACATATTAATAGTATGTCGGTATATGATTTCTATTCATGCTACAGCAATGTATAAAATTGCATGTATACTAAGTTAGTCATAAATATATTAAATAATATCTTGAAGTTTTTTTTTAAATTATACAGGGTCCGGCACTCAAAGTGTAACCAATTGAAAAAAACATAAATTCAGTTTGGAAAATTACTTTTACTGGATTCAAAAAACAAAATGTGTATAAATAATATAAAACTTAAAAACAATTCACTTTTGTTCGATATGACCACCTTTTGCTTTGACTGTGCTCTTTAGACGGTGAGTCCCTCTTTCCTCTTTCTATTTTCGCACATTTTCTTAAATATAAAATTTGGCGGGTGTTAAAACTCTGATCGCAGTGTTTGAGAGTCCCACATATCGATGATGCGGAGGATGCGTCGCCTGAATGTTCCCGGGGTGTCGGTGCAGGTCCCAAACTTCCCAAATTTCCCCAAAAATTTTTTTCCCTAAATGTTTTTCCCAAAATTTAATAAAATTTAATTGAGTGAAAAATGTAGTTTTTATGACATGTTTGAACCGACTTTATACAAGTTTTTACCGATAGATGACTACTTATAAGTTATAATCTTTTTTCCATTTATACTGTAGCTGTCCATTACTGCTGGTAGGTTATATATATTTTACAACTTATAACGCACGCTATGCAGTACTGCTTGGACAATTAATAATTAAATCCCGGACGAGGGAGTGTCGGTGCGGGCACCCGCACGAGGGGGTCCCGTACGCAAGTCGCCCCCAGGCCAATTTTTTTAAGTCGAGAAACAGACCGTTAGGGAGACACTCGCGACATTCTGAATCTGACTAACATTTTTCTAGCTGTACTGCACGTCGTGTGCAAAAAATTTACTTTACCATGGCAACGGTTCCAAATTTTATGTTAGCGAC